AATTTAAAAAGAACAAAATAAAAAGAAAACGGCAGAAAAGGCAAATGAAATTCCAGATGAGTGCTTGTTACTTGCAAGAATAAATAACCGAACAAAATTGAATTTAATTTGTCACATAGGCTGACATCTGCTCAAAAATTGAAACATACAAATGGGATTTGTACAGCAGCTTTCGTTGTTCCGGCATAGATTGATTTTTATTTGAGTACTTCAATATTGTTTTAATTTATAATTAAAAAAAATTGCGATTTTTGTGGACAGACTACCTTGTAGGGAGTTATTACAGATCTTAGCGATAAATAAATGATCATCACGAGGTCGAGATTTATTCTAAAATAATTATTAGCACTAAAATAAAGAGAAAATGCAATTCAAATTCCAGATGGATATATTTTATTTGCAAGAATGGATGATATGAGAAAAAAAATAAATTTCAACCTTAGTTTTTACCAGGATTGTTATATGCAGAGATTGTAAGTTTCAAAATTGATTTACACAAATGTATATAGGTTGTTTACACCTGTGCGGTAGTTGATATATGTAAACTACAGTTAGATCATAGGAAAAATTTTCATTGTATCGAAAAGCTAGGAAACAAGTACATGCAGATTTCTCTTGTTGTAGAAGACATTAGCATTATAAATTCTGAGTTACATCCACTAAGATAGAAAAAGTTCTCTTTGTCACAGTTCATTTGTCCAGGTTGGTTGTTTCTTCGACTGATAAACAGCTAACATATCACTTCAAAATATATTCTTCATAGACTTTAAGAAAATTACATAATTTCGAGAAGTTTTTTTTTAATGTTATGAAAATTTAATAAACCATATGCGAATACAAAGCTAGGTGCATATACTGTAATTGCTTTCATGGTATTGTTATATATCACTTAATCTTAAAAGACAAAAACTTGTTTCATATTCGATTTTATTTTATTTACAAATTATAGGTGGTAAGATATTATCCATTCAAAGAAGTATCCCGTCCTTGGGGTTGGACGAGGTCACTTAATCCTAGTGGAGAACATCATGTATGTTAAGGCAGCACACAGATCAGAATGCGGCAAATTAACAGTCTTTTTGCTATATGTAACACTGATAAATCGGAAAAGTCATGGATAAAACTTGTGCTATCATTATGCATTCTATAGGCTTCAATGGGACTAATGCTACAGGAAGCACTACACCAGGAAGTCATCATGTGACGTCTATAAATAGAAAAAAGTTTGCCTTGATGAAAAAGTGAAAAGTTCAACACTACCCCGGGGATAATAACAGAGTCTGGCACTTTCCAAAAGCAATAGAATAAGAACGTTCGACATAAGGAAAAACTAAGTTTCAGAGTATGCGGCGTAGTGTTGAACTTTTCCATTTTTAGCTCACCAGGGGCCCGTTTTACAAAAGAACTTACGACTAAGACCAAAAACTTCAGATTATTGTAAAATTGATAATTCTCTTTGAAATTGTTTGTGTAAAAATATCTTACCATATTCCTTTTAAAAAGTTAAAAATAATGTTCGATATAATGTTAATTAAAAAGGTATATGAAGAATCAAATTTGGTCGTAAGTCGTAAGTCCTTTTGTTAAACGGGCCCCTGAGCCGAAGGCTCCAGTGATTCAGCTCAAGTAAGCTTTCTGATCAAAATTTGTCCATTGTCGGTCGTCGTCGTAGTAAACTTTTCACATTTTATTCTTCTTCTTAAGAGCCACTGGGCTAATTTCAACCAAATTTGCCACAAGGTATCTTTTGGTAAGGGGTATTGTAATATGTTCAAATGAATGACAAGACCCTCTTTCTAGGCGAGATAATTATGAATTCGGGAAAATTAATCTTTTAAAAATCTTCTTCTCAAAAGCCAAGGGGCAAAAAAAAACATCCTCAGGTAGCGTAGATTCACGTTGGTTCAAATCATGACCACTAGGGGAAAGGGTGGGGCCACAATAGGGTATCAAAGTTAAACATAGGAACACCTAGGAAAATCTTTTGAAAATCTTCTCAAGAATAGCCTGGGCAGTGGTGGAAGCATCCTCTAGTAGAGCAGATTCAAGTTTGTTCAAATCGTCACCCCCGGGGGTAGGGTGGGGCCAAAAAGGGATATCAAAGTTTATCATAGGAAAACACGTACATACGAAAAATCTTTGAAAATATTCTTCTCAAGAACAGCAAAGCATTGATTGGTCATAGTTATATGAAGGCATGCTGTGGTAGTGTAGATTCACGTTTATTCAAATCTTGACCCCAAGGGGTAGAATGGGGCCACAATGGGTGATCAAGCTTTTATGTAGGAAAACATAGGTAAAATAATAAAAATCATTTTCAAGAACAACAAAGCCATTGTTTATCATTAATATAAAAGCATAAAAAAGTATAGACTAAAGTTTATTCAAGTACCCCTTTCCCCACCCTGAATCCACTTTCACTAGAATATTCAAACTTTTCAATACTGAACTGATTTTTGCTTAGCTAGTTGATCAGGTGAGCGATGTGGCCCCTAGGCCTCTTGGTTTGTTACGAACAACGAAGGTAAAGGCTGATCGGGGGTTAATACACTGTATGCTTTTATTGTACGAAGAAATTGTAGAGTGATATTAGCATTCCTTACTCATTAGCCTTTTTCCAACATAAATCACAAATGATAATCATTCTAGACATGTTTTGATTCATTTCTATAACCTCAAAGCAATCTTTAAATATAGATTTTAAGAAATTATTATTATAATATATAACGTTCACGTCATATAACTTACTAGGACGTCATATTGTATAAGCAAGTTGAATATTTAGTTGTAGCCTTAACATACTATTCCTTTGTATATGAATCTTTCGATTGGAAAATTATTACAAATCATTTCAGAGCCCTCTGCTCAGGACCAGGCGCCATTCTCTGATTTTCCGCCAATAAACCAGTCGTTGGCAACGCTATCTGTAAAAAACGAAAGTAAGAGATACAGACAAAAATCACAATGAAATGGATAGCTAACATATCTCATCATTCTTACCTTTTTTTATCTTTTAAGCAAACTTGAAGGACAGAGAGCGATTGAGAGAAAGTTACATGTATGTACTAAAGGATTTATTCGTCTTAGTGTACAAAATGTTCTTTGATTTGATATATAGATAATCAACCGGAGGGGGATCAACCGAGATTTGAAGAAGCTAACTATTTTTTGTAATGAAATATAAGGGAAAAAATGAACAGTGTTCAAGCTAAAAAGTTGATTGGACAATACACATTTAGGAGCAGAACAAACACACGGACATCTAAACATAAAAATTAAAGGTAGAATCCTGTGCAGTCTCCCCTTCACCGATCATACCCACCTTGTGTTCCTTGTCATGATCGGGAAATAACGGTCAAATCCGTCGAAAATTCGGTTTGTATATAATTGCCTAACAATTGTTATCAAAAAGTCAGCCAACATATGACTTATAAGAATGTATTTTCCGACAAGGTCATTGTATATATCTATCATCAAATTTACGAAATGACTTTAAACAAGACTGCTGATGTTCTTTTTTATCATCTTCCGTGTAAATATTTTACCTCGTTTTAGAAATCGTTTAGACTTAGAGCATGCTCTAAGCATTGATATAAACCCTCTCATACAAGTTAGTGATGGAGGTTAGTTGCTGCATAATGAAGGGAAGTTGACGATTGGAGTAAAATATCTAAATATGAAATTAATGTGTCAGATTCTGCGGTATCTTTTATTTCAACCATACCTGGATATATCGTATCAACGTAAGAAAGAAAGTAACCATTGTTTATTGATAATTAGTCGGTGAGATATCTAAATGTCGAATTGTTGCCCAAACCAAGTGTCTTTTACGTACAAGATTTTGAAATAAAGAAATCTGTTTCATATGAATGCACAAACAGATCTGATCCGCAAATAACGGGGTCCAGCTGGTATCAATGGGAATTCCAATAGATTGTTGGAATTAAAACCTGTTCTCCAAAAACCACATACTAGTTATTTTCAATCGGAAAACAACGTTATTTATATCAAAGTGATTATCATTTCAGAAGAAAGAGACAAGTAGAAAAAAAAGTTATTTAGTTTTTATATTAAAAAAGATCATTTTAAATTTGCTAAAATATTGATAACTTTTGCATGTAGTATAAACGCACATCATGATTTTTGTTTTAGAATATTGGAGTAACGAGTCAATCTACAATCTTCACGTCAAAGAACAAATATGACATGGAAAGCAATTCTTCGGATAAGACTGTATAAATCAAAGTATCTTGCTGCAGTAGCTGAAAGAAAGAAAAACATTCTCTTACTCCTTTAAGGTCTTAAGTGCCGAGTATACGTCTGAAAATTGCAGCCGTCGACCGGCAAGTGGCTGTACTCAATATAAGTTAATAATTCCCGAAAGAAATTTAAACAACAAACAAACAAAAACCTACTAACCAATTTATGTGTGTACATGTACATCTATGGTCATTTGCCTCTTCATTTACTGTAGATTTCATTTATACTGAGCTGTTTCGTTTTACATGATTTTTTGGAATTATAAAGTTCTTGATCATACACGTTACACTCAGAGACAAATTCAGAATTTCGTTTACCAAAACATAAAACAAATTAATATTTTTTTTTACAATATTCAGGGGTTATTTTCTTGAATGAGTTGCCAATTCGTATTAGGAATTCTCAATCCCTTGCAATATTTATAAAAGTAGTGTTGAAATTTTTTTTAATTATGAAGCGTACTGGTTCTACATGAAAATATGTTTTTCCTTTCCTTTCAATGAAATGTCAATATTAAATTTATTTTGTTGTAACATAGTGTTCATATTTTATTGCTTCATGTTTGTGATTATTGTCTTTGTTGAATAAAACATTGTATATGTGTTATAAAGAAAGCTCCGAGGAAGACTCTGGCTTGCACTAATCGGATAACCTTCTATAAATAAAATAAATAAAGTATTATTATTATTACATTCGTCTCATCCTTTGAAAATATTCTTGGAATTGCTAAAACTAAACGATATCTTCTTAAATATTTTATTGGCTCTTAGGAAGCAGCAAACTGTTTGAATAAACAATTCTATTACAAGTTTTTCCAAGAACATGTGTACCCAGAGAAACCAGGTTTGCATCCTTGAAGACAAAAAGTAGTCACTTTATCACAACTTCCGTTTCCCCCGCAGTTTGGGGGACATGTGTCATCACATGAGAACCCAGCATATCCTGGCTTACATCCATCATCACAAAATGAATTATACCTGTGTAAAACAAGAAATATCGATTGATCATAAACTGCTGGAGTAGACAAAACTAGATTTGAAAATTGTGTATTATATGATACTTTGAATGGTTGTGATGGCGATTCATAAAAGATTTACACTTATCATTAGGATAAGAAATTTAATCCCAGATGCTACATACCTATTACACTTTCCTGATCCGGCACAGTTACGAGAGCAGTTCTTATCACACTCCAAATCCCAGTACGTTGGCAAACAACCGCTAGAACAGTATCCAGTGTATTTGCCACAGGCGCCGTTACCTTCGCAGAAATCACTACACTTCTTGTCACAGTTCCATCCATAGAACCCCACGGGGCATGCTAATAACACAAATACATGTGATGGTATTGTGTGTTTAATTTTTTTAATTAAAGCTGCTAAAAATTATCCCGTGTGTGCATAACGTATCTTTGGGTAAAGGACCATTGTTATTTCAATGAGAAAATCTATTCTACATAAGTCGTATGATTTACCGGTAAGCGTACCTGCAAGTGGATTATGAATAAGATTTTTTGTTTTTATTATTTGCGTTTGACATACTGAGAATCTTCATCTCTTTCTATCTTAAAAATAAGTATGCAATGATAAATTAATAAATAATACGTTTTCCTTCTATTGCAATTTTGGCTTAGTTTTACAATAACTATTAAATACAAAATTTCCTTGATAACCCACCTTCAGAAACAAAAATGGCGGCAAGGAGCAGGAAAGATAGCAGTATCATTCTTCACTAGTTGCTTTAATTTCATATAATCTAGAAATTAAGAAAATTAAATTAAAGTAATTTTACGTTCAAAATATCGTTAAATATTCACATTTGCTAAAGTTGTGCTAGGAGTAACCTAATTAGAGATGCCTACACCCATTAATCACTTATTTTCCACCTCTGGAATTTCGGGGAAGGGGACTGTCAAATTTGTATCACTTGCAGAATTTTTAAGTCGATTGTTCAATGTTTCTTATCTTCACTTTTTTCATACTTTAAGAAAACATGCCCATTAATTTAGTATAAAACTTATCTAGCAATCAATGCGTCGCTCGCGTGGCGTAGTGGTTAAAGTTGAGTTGATCCTTAAATGACGGGTTCGAATCCCACTGTGGGACATGTAGACCGTTCCTTCGGATGAGACCGTATAAACTGAGGCTCCGTGTCGCAGTAGGTACTGGCACGACAAAGATTCCTCCCAGCTCAATGGCCCTCAGTGCCGAAAACAAAATTTGCAGCCTTCCAGTGTCAGTTGGTGGCGTCTCCATATGAGTGAAAATTTTCGAGAGGGACGTTAAACAATATACAATCAAACAACCAACAATCATTGCCTTTACGAGATGCAGGTTTTCGATTAATTTTAGACCCCGACTTTCCGCTTTTCTAATTTGAAGGAGAGGGGGTATTAATAAAACACACTTTGTACAGATACAGTGTACATGATCATTAAACGTTTTAATTTTAAAATGTGATATATTGAGATCGATATAAGAACGGTTCATTGAAAATGCTTATTTGTTTCGCAGGGTTAGTAAAGTAAAGAATTATAGCATCAACGCGTTTTTTTTACATTTCATTTTTCCACAAAGTATAAGGAGATTTTAAAGCCATTGATTAAAAGGAAATTGCACTGCACACTTAAAATTTCGAACTTTACACTTTTATTTTAAATAAGAAGACACAAATTTTTATGTTAAATTAATATTGCTCTTAAATTCTTTTTAAGTGACTAAAAGAATACTTGATTCTCATAATAACCTTGTTGGTCCTGAAGGAGAAACTAGTATTACAGTTACTAAACACGTGTCTTGATCACTGAATTTGGAATACATTTTTTATTTTTCATTAGAATTTGAAATTGGGGAAAAAATAAAGTTTCAATGCAAATTATTATTAAATTACTTCCTGAGATTCAAAGCAAACTTATGTAAAACATTCAGCCATTATAAGTAAATGCCTCAATGGGGATAAAAATTACCTTCCGTCTGGCTTGTTATTAACTTGTTGGACAAATAATGTTGCTTTAAGTACTACTGAACATTATTAGTTCCAACCTACTATAGTTAGAATTTGTCACGTAGGTTGACAATGATACATGAACATCTGCTCAAAAATTGAAGCATATAATGGGATTTGTATAACAGCTTTTCAAGAAAAAAAACCCATATTGTTCCGTCACAGTTTCTGATATGGAATCCTTCAATACTGTTTTTGATTCATAATTTGTTTTTTACAAAGTGCATTTGTAGATAGTCTACTCTTTAAGAAATTTCTTCAAATTCTTGTCGTAAAGAAATGACCGCGAGGTCGAACTTTATTTTTAAATAAAATATATGGTGACAACGAACAGTATTCGAGCTCAAAAGTCCAGTAAACATTACAAAAAAGGAGCGGAGCAAACAAGGACCTCAAAAACATCACAGGTTGGTACCATGGAAGAGTGAGCATCTCCTGCCAAGCGGTCAAATCCGCCGCATGCTTCTCGTCATGATTGGAAAATAATGGAAAAAAAATCCGTGGACAACACAATGTGTAAATACTCCAGTAATGGCCTAATAATCAATATTATTTATATTTGCTGAAAGGTCATTGCATCGACCTTAGAACTTACGAAATGATGACTTAATTAAACGAAACTGTTAACAAAGGTATGTTACTGACTATCTAATGGAAGGTAACAATTGAAAAGTTAAAGTCATCACGTTTATCATAAGGCTTTGCTATTAGATTACCATATGTCTTTTCCTAGCAGATGTGTCAGACTCTGTGGTACCTTTTATTTCAAGCTCACCGGAATAATTCGTGTCAACATGAAAATGGAAATAACCTTGTTAATTGACAATCCGTCTTCAATATATCTAAATTTCGAGTTGAAAGCCACAACAAGCGTTTCTCTTGTTCACGTATACAATTTTAAACAAATTCTGTTTCATATTAATACGAAAATAGAACTGCTGATAACTTTAAAAAAGGCCAAAAAAAAAAAGATTGAGAAAGCAAATCAGATTCCAGATTGGTGATTGTTACTTGCAAGAATGGATTATATAACAAAATTGAATTTAATTTGTCACAGGTTGATATCTGCTCAAATATTGAAACATACATATGTGATCTGTATAACAGCTTGTGCTGTTCCGGCATAGATTGATTTTTATTTTGATTCCTTCAATGTTGTTTACAATTCATAATTTTAAAAGATCCGATTTTTGTGGACAGACAACTTTGTAAGGAGTACTACAGATCTTAGCGGTAAAGAAATTTGAACACGAGGTCGATATTTATTCTTAAAATAATTATTAGCACTAAAATAAAGAGAAAATGCAATTCAAATTTCAGATGGATATATTTTATTTGCAAGAATGGATGATATGAGAAAAAAAAAATAAATTTCAACCTTAGTTTTTACCAGGATTGTTATATGCAGAGATTGTAAGTTTCAAAATTGATTTACACAAATGTATATAGGTTGTTTACACCTGTGCAGTAGTTGATATATGTAAATTACATTAATATCATAGGAAAAAAATTTCAAAAAGCAAATAAAGAAAACAAGTATGTCTTTTGCAGATTTTTCTTGTTGTAGAAGACCTTTGCATTATAAACTCAGAGTTACATCACTATGAAAGAGAAAGTTCTCTTTGTCACAGGTCATTTGTCAAGGTTGCAATTGATTGGTTCTTCGACTGATAAACAGCTAACATATCACTTCAATATATTCTTCAGAGACATTCAGAGAATCACATAGGTTTGAAAAAATTTTTTAGAATGTCATGAAAGTTTTATAAACCATATGCGAATGAAATGCTTGGTGCATAAAATAGCTTTCATGATATTGTTATTTTCTCACCACGATTTGAGGGTTTATCCCAGTGATTGTGGATTTTTCTTATGTGTTTCTATTGGAAAAAAAAGTTATAAATCATTTCAGAGACGTCTGTCCAGGACCAGGCGCCATTTTCTGATTGTCCGCCAATAAACCAGCCGTCACCCCATATCTATTTAAAAGAAATGCTAGAGTTCCAGACAAAAATCATAATGAAATTTTAGTGCATAATAAATATTTTTTCCCCTATAATATTTTTCCGTATATCATACTTTGTCTTTCCTTTCAAGCAGAGATTTATAGTAATGATGGTCTCCCCTCATTATAAACACTGTCAGTGAGAATTAAATTGTTCATTGTATATTGTTAATTAATGATAAAATATGCCACAGCATAATAAAACATAACACTACTTTCATTAGATTGTTTTTAATTAGCCTGTGAAAACTAAATGACATTCATTTGTCATCTTACCTTTGTGTGGCATAACATTCAGCATTTTGTTGTTGATATTTTTAAAGAAAAAAAATGTTTTATAATACTCTCGATAATTTTATGCAAAGAAGTATTTATAATCAAATCACCATTTCTTTCATCCTTATAAATGTTATCAATGCATCATCTATTAAAGAGAATAAATCTACATATCCTGTGTCTAATTCACTCGAATTGTACTGCATATAAACCTACTTTACCAAATATTCTGAAATGATTCAGACAGCCTTCCAACTTGGATAAATTTACCTTGACATTTTTTCTGAACTGTTGCCTGACGCATTTAACCTATTTATTTTTTATATAATCTAAACTGGTATGATAAGTGTTTCAAATTCGTTGGAACACATTTGTGATCTATATTATGTCAAATGGAAGATCATTTCAGAATAAAGAGACAAATAGAAAAAAATATTTAGTTTTCATCAAAGAGCGTTAATTTTAAATTTGTTTAAATATCGATTACTGTTGCTTGTCGAATAAACGTACATGATGATTGTTATGCCAAAGTGGTACAAAACAGGAACCCTAGAGTCGTGCAGTAATGAGTCGATCTTGACGTCGAAAGAATGAATCTCACATAGAGACCGTTTCGTATTGCCGTAGATGCTAAAAAGAAAAAAAAGCATCTTACTTCTTAATGGACACAAGTGCCGAGTGTATGTTTGAAAATTGCAGCCGTCTATTGGCAAGTGGTGGTACTCAATATAAGAAAATTATTCCCAAAATGTACTTAGACAAATAAAAACCTATGTATCAAATTAAGTGTTTACAGTTATAGGGTAATTTGCTTCTTCATTTACTGTGAAATTCATTTGTAATAAGCTTGTTTGTTCTTCAGTCTCAAAATACCAAGCAGATATTTAAAAAAAACACATATAGAGAGACGGGTATAATTTTTTTTATTACATGTATACAACATTCTTTTCATCTTTGAAAATATTCTTGAAATTGATAAAATTGTACAGTATATAATAAAACATTTTATTGTTTCTTAGGAAGCGGGTATAAATGTAGTTAAAATGCTGCTTGGATAAATAATTTTCTTATTAGTTTTTCCAAGAACAGTTGTACCCAGAGTAACCAGGTTTGCATCCATGAAGACAAAACGTAGTAGTTATGTCACAACTTCCGTCTCCCCCGCAGTTTCTGGGACAGGTGCCTCTACATGAGAACCCCCTGTATCCTGGCTTACATCCATCATCACAAAACGAAGTATACCTATGACACAACAACAAAAATAAGATGCTCATGGACCCTAACCGCAGATTTCTTCTCCTATATTTTCATATGTAAAGCTGTCATATGCAAAGCTTTGATCACCTGTTCTTTGCACAACAGGTGCCATGTTTTGGAGAAAATTGAATCTAAACGTTCTGAAGATAGATGCTTCTATATTCATATGACATATTTTGGCTTAGTATGTTCTTGAAAATAGACTTTAAAAGATGTCTGAAACTCTACCCTGTGGCGTGGGGGGTTGGAGTTGATTTGAGCAAAATTGAACCTACACTACCTGGGTATGCTTCCATATTCATTTAACAAATGCATGACTATTGTTCTGGAGAAGAAGAATTTCAATGATGTTTCATATACGGTTTATTTGTATAATTTTGACCCATCCAACTACTGGGGAATGCCTTGAACAAATGTGAATCGCCAATACTTGGGGATGCTTCCATGTCAGTTTGACTTATTGCTTTGTTTTTGAAAATATTTTTCCTGCACTTTCCTATGTAAGACTTTGATCCTCCACTGTGGCTCCACCCTACCTCAAGGGGTCATGATTTGAGCATTATTGAATATTCACTACCTAGGAATAATTCCGCATCAAATTGACTATAATAGTAACTTTGTTTTTTTTTTTTAAGTTTGTTAATTTAAAATGATTAATATTTTATAGAAAACTTTTATTGTGGTTCCACCATACCCACGGGAGTCATGATTTGAACAAACTTGAATCTTATAACAGTACATGAGGATGCTTCAGATTGAACATGACTAATTCCGACTTTGTTGTGCTTAAGATTTTTAAAGATGATTCCATTTATTATACTTCTGTTAAAATGTTTCCTTTATAAAGTTCAGAAGTTAAAATAGCTATCCTTTATAGTTCACGCATAGCAAAGCTATACCCCGGGGTATAGTTTTAATTTGCTATCCACCCTCGGAAAATTTTCATACAATTGTTGCCTCCAAATTTTGATTTCCAGCGATAAATCTATTGACTGATGATAAATCTTTAAATGATGATGTCATAATGACTTAAGTAGCATTGTGACGTCACCAGGATTTCAGATTATTCTTGCAGAATAATCTTAATTCAAAAAAATTCAAACCTCAGAAATTATATTATACATCAGTATAAAAAGCGCTTATGCACTGGTTGTGAGTAGGATAGCTCTTTTATCAAACCCTTGACAGGAACTATTCCCCTCGGGCAAGCCCTCGGGGAATAGTTCTCTGTCGCGGGTTTGATAAAAGAGCTATCCCACTCACACCCAGTGGACGTATAATATCTTATATTTGCATATCCACTGCTCTCTCTCACTATGAACCTGCAGACTTTAACTGCATTCATAGCTCTATGAACGCAACTGCTCTTGCTATGAGTGCTCTCATTGCTCTTTAGCACTCGTGTAGTACAAGCTCTTCTACACTCCTAAGTCGTGTTGAGAAGTATATATACGAAGTGTTTAGTCAAAGGAATAAATGTAAACTTTTTAATAATAATTTTTGGAAAAAAAGAAATTCAGAACAATTTAGAATTGCTGTTTTATATCTTTAAAAATTTAATTTTTGCCAATGTATTTAATTGTATAATAAAATTTTTTTAAAATTGAAAAGAATTGCCATATTTTTATTTTTTCTTATCATATTTTTGCATATTTGTACAAAGAACGATAACTCTTCACACAAGGGTGATAAAACATTCAGGAAAAGCAAAATTTCTTTAATTTAATAGTTTGTCTATTTCAAGAACAGTTTCAGCTCTTAAAAATAAATAGGAAAAAAAACATATAGAAAAACATTCTGGAGTTATAATGATTATTAAAGCATTCTCTTTTCATCAAACGGCTGTATTATTGATTTTTGTCAGAGGGTTTCAATAACGTTGATCGATGACGTCACATCTGCATCAAAACAAAAATTAAGAGAATGTAACGACGGCGCAGATTGTATCTAGATAACTGTGTTTTAAAAGAGGCTACTACTTTATAAATTGTTTGTGATTTATTAGAGAAAAGGTGCAATGATCAGGTATACTAATTTTAAAGCCGTGTGTTTTTCTTTACTGAAGACAACAAGCCACATCCTTACGTAAGCCAGGATTTCCTCTGATATTCTTGACAACATCAAAGAATGCAAATATAAGTAATAAACAACGATTATTTAGTGAACATGGCGTTATGAATAGCAATAGCTCTGCTGGCATATTATCCATGATGCGCTAACGCGCATCATGGAATATGCCAGCAGAGCAATTGCTATTCATAACGCCATGTTCACTAAATAATGTTGTTTATTTCTTAAATGTAAAACTTAATCCTCCATTGTGACCCAATCTTATGCTTGAGTTCCTGATTTGAACAAACTTCATTCTTCAAGTTTCTAGTCCATTATTTCTTGAGAGGATGATTTAAAAAAGTTTACATCTAATTCTTATTAATTTTTAATTATTTCCATTCATTTCAACTGAAAAATTTGAATATCCCTTCACACAAGGATGCTTTTTGACAACGTTGGTCAAAATTGGCCCAGTAGTTCTTAAGACGATGACCCAAAAATGTTTTACAGACAGACAAATTAACAGACGGACGCCAGATAAAATGTAGTCAGAAAAGGAGAGCTAAAAATCACTGATTATAAAATACTGTAGCAATTCAAATGGATTTGTGTCCCCATGAAATTTTATTATTAATGATTATGATTCATGTTTATAATAAGGATTATAATTCCAATTTACATACCTGCTACAATTTCCAGATCCAGCACAGTTAGGAGAACAGGTCTTCTTACACTTTAAACCCCAGTACTTTGGCAAACAATCACTAGAACAGTATCCAGTGTATTTGCCACATGCACCGTCTCCTCCACAAAAACCACATTCCTGGTCGCATCTCCAGCCATAGAATCCCACCTGACAGGCTAAACAATCAAATTTACACAAACAATGTTTCTCTGTGTTACTGATTATTCATTTAAAACGCTACTAAAATTATATAATGTATACATAGATAATATTTACATATATGATGCAATATGCCATGCAGGATGCATGGACTAACAACTTCAAAGTAATATAAGGTGGAAAAAAGTATCCAATGCTTGTATGCATTTTCTCAATTCTTTTTGTTTTTTAGGAATGAAGTTTAGAAAATTATTGTACGAGTTTTGTAATTGTTAATGATTTTTGTTAAAAAATAATTATTAAGGGTTTAGTAGTGTTACGTTTTAACACGTCTCTTCTCAATCATATCTTCATTTCTTTGATAAATGTTTATAAAGAAACCTATTTCGAATTATACATGTGTATATATAAGTTATAAAATTGTAATTATTTAATTTAATTTCCTTTTCTACGGAATACATTCGGTTGGGATTATAACTTACAATTACTAACATTTTTTTCAGCATTTGTCATACTGAGAAAATACATATATATACATGTACACATCATAATGATTTATTGCTTCACCTCTTCTATTTGAAAAAATGGTATGCAATTTATTAAAAAAAAAATAATTATTCCAATTTTTTCTTTAGTTTGTTATTTTTGTTTAGTTGTAAGAATACAAACTCTTATTGATAACCTACCTTCAGAAACAAAAATAGCGGAAAGGAGGAGGAAAGATAGCAGTATCATTCTTCTCTAGTTGCTTTGATCTCTTAATATCTAAAAATAAAGAAAATAATTACAGTGATTTTACGATTAAACTATTTTGAAATATTCATATTTGCCAAAGCTCTGTCAATAGTAGCGTAATTAGGGATAAACAGGTAGTTTGTAATTTATTAAGGTTGATATTCTATTACATCAATTGTAAAAAATACACAGTAAAAAGCTTAAGGGAAGATGTACGTTAACCACGAAAGAAAAATTTACATAAAAGCAACGCCATTGTTTTCTGAGAAAATAATAAAGTGACATATGATTTAAACAAACAAAAACATAACTTTGTTTTCATTTTCTTACATATTTAAAAGTTTATCAGGTTAGAATAGAAAGAGCAAGACATTGATTATAAAATTGATATACATGCACATCCTATTCAGTTTATGTCTACGTTTCATTTAACTGAGCAGTATAAATGAGTGACGGACATCATGCACCGGCCTAAACTGAAACATCTCTAGCATCGAAAGAACAAGTAAATATTTAGACTGTTTCAGTTTTATGTCAATTCTTGAACATAAGCTATGACAAACATGACTTAGAAACAGAAGATGTTTACACTTTCTAGGCATTTGATTCCACTTATGGAATTTCGGGGTTGGGTGGTGATTTTAACTTTACAGAGATTTATGTTTTCCGTAGATTTTTTTTAGGTTGAACACATTTTGTTATCCTTTTTTTTTTTATTTCATAAATTTTAGAAATATGACTATTCATCAAGTATCAAATGTATCTCTTATTGCAGTTGACTTTTCGGGATGCAGGTTTTGAAATGACTTTTAGACTACATCTCCTGCTTTCCTTTGGGGGAAGGAGGAATAAAACTCATTTTCACTGATACTTGATCATGGACTATTTTCTTAAATGATTTTAAATGACATGCATGATAAAATCTGAGCACTCATGCAGTTTATTTATTACTGATATATGTCAAAATTGAGTGTTGATATTTAATAAGTATAAATGGATAAAATCACTGTTCATGTAGAATGCTTGTTTGGTTATTGATGATTTATAATAACATCATCATGTTAGAAACATATTGAATCATTAAAATATTTTTTAAAATTTTTAACAAAATATAAGGATATTTTAAAGCCAATCATTTTTAAGATTTTTCACTGCAGAATTGAAGTTCTAGTAGACATAATTTTCGAACTTTAAACTTTAAAAAAAGAAGAATGGTACATATTTTATGTAATAATGTCCTCCTTCAAATCCAGTATATGACTAAAAGAATGTTTTATAACCATTATAGCGGTAGATGTCCTGAAGGAAAAATCGTTATCAGACTTTCAGAAGACGTCTTGGTCATTGAATTATAAATACAGTTTGAGATTTCTGCAGAATTTCAAATGGAAAAAATATAAAGCTTCAACTATTCTAGTACTTACTATAACCGCTGACATTACTTTCTGGGACGCAAAGCAAACTCACCTGAAACATTCAGCTGTTAAAGGCAAATGCTTCAATGGTGGTAAAACTTACCTTACCTCCTGGCTAGTGTACTCTTCGGACAAATAATTTTGCTTTAAGTCACAGACAAATTATTAGTACCTACCCACCGTAAATATGATTTGTCACGTAGGTTGACAATGATACATGAACAACTGCTCAAAAACTGAAGCATACGTATGGGATTCTGTATAACAGCTTGTCTAAAAAATACTTGTTGTTTTGGCATAGATTGATTTTGAGTTTTTCTCAATATTGTTTTCACTATAAATTCTGTCGTTAAAAGAGGATCATAAGGTCGAGATTTTTTTCTCAAAATAATAACAATTTAGCACTTAAAGAGAGCATTTGTCCTTCATTGCCCTCACAAAATAAAATTAAAAAACGGCAGAAAAATTAAAGCAATATGAGCTGGAAATTTGACATGGGAAAATTTTGCTGCAAATTTGTAATTAAATATTTCAATGATAGAAAAAAAGAACATTTATAAACTTCTATTGTTCACATTTGCGATGGGAAAACTTTTCATAAGCTTTAATTGAAACAAAATTACATTTAGAATGGATTAGATGTCAAATTTTAATTTCTGCTAAAGTTTTCACTAGGATTTTTCTGTGCTGAGATTGAATGTTTAAAAATTGATTACGAATGCTTGTTTACATCTGTGCAGTTGATATATGTAAATTGCACTTAGATAATAGGAAAATTTTTCAATATGTCGAAAAGCCAGCAAACGATCGCGAATTATGTCTGTTGCAATATTTTTTTGTTGTAGATGACATTCGCGTTATAAAGTCTGTGTAACATCAACACAAATATTTACTGTAGGTCGTCTGAATCAGAGATTCGACTGAAAAACAGCTTTCATACCATATTAAAATCATACATTCTAAAGATTTTTTGAGAATTTACCAGGTTCAAAAAACGTCTTGTTTAAATCTTATGAAAGTCTCAGAAACCATATGCTTAACTAGCTATCATATATCAGTTTAGTAATATAAAGACCAACGTACATGTAGGGTCTGATTTTGCAACTTTAACATTATGGTATAAATTAAAGCATGTCAACATAATAAAGGGTACACAATTTAAAAAGATAATACACGTAATATTAAATTTCATCTTTGATATCTACTGAAGAAGAAAAGAAAAAATGTATTTTGTTTTTATTTTATTTAAAAATCACACATGTTAACATGTTGTTCTTTCACAGATGTATCCCATCCTTGGGATTGGACGAGAAGTCACATAGCCCCACTGGAGATCGCTTTTGAAAATGACAGCAAAGTTTTTGACCACGGTTTGGGGTATTATTCCAGTGCGTGTTGATCTTTCGATGGGAAAATTGTTATAAATCATTTCAGAGCCATCTGCCCAGGACCAAGCGCCATTTTCTGATTGTCCACCGATAAACCAACCGTCACCACCGCTATCTGTAAAAATCAAATGCAAAATTACAGACAAAAAATCACAAGGATGTGTAAGAGTGCCTAATGAAATAATTTCCCTTTATAATATACAAATTTTTTTTTTTATGCAGGGGTATAAAGAGATGAGGGTGTCCTTATTTCCTTGCATCTGTAACACTTAGGGGTATCCATTTCCATTCCGCAACTACACTTAAACAACTGATTAAAATTTTACGAGATTTTCACAAAATCATCTTCCTTTTCAGTGCAATTGTGATTTCATTTTTTTTTCTTTTGATCCGATAGATAATTGGAATATTAATTTGCAAGACCTGGATGCTCCTGATTTTTCCTGTAACTTATAGCAATCTTTATTTGTATTTCCTCCAATAACAATGTAAATTTTATTTAATGAAGCTTTACATCTCATTTATTATATAAAGTGCCATTTTTGTTTTCATCTAACAGATCTAGAGATTTGGAGTTGCCTATACCAAATGAACTTTGCCATTACATTCTGATATGTATTGGAGCGCGTGAAGAGATAATTTGTTTTCAGAGGACAATTCTTACAGAATCTCTTGATTTCATTGTTTTAAATGATTTATCATCTAAAGTTTATATTGCGTCAAAGAAGTAGAATTCAATATGTTCAGAAAGATGTTTTATATTTGACATAACAGTGTATTATTATTTATTTAAAAGAACCTCTACAACTGGTTATATTCTACAAAAATATTTCAGGAAATGCAAATATTTTGTTGACATTTTTAAAAGAAGTTATCCCACTTATGAAACAACTAAAAAAATTGATTAACGTTTAACTTACTGCACTCTCCGGCGAGAAAGGTTTTCAGAGCTTGGTCCTCGTTTCTGTTTTCAATTTTAACTAGGTCCCAGCCTCTTGTTCTTCGACACTCATCCCGAGCCTGTTCCCAGGTTAGAGGTCTGTTGAAATCAATGATACGGTAGCGGCTACTGGCTCTGGTGGTGTCTTAAATAGAAATGACCTAATAGTCTAAACAATTCAAATATAACAGACAATGATGAAAAAAGTGACAATAACAACTAGTGATGGATCTTTATTTAAAAATCTGATCTTTCATAAGATGTATGCATTTTCTGAATAATTAATGCAATTATGAGTGTATAGGTAAGGCAGTGCAGTGTTGTTTTCTATTAAACTTACCTATCACAAACACAGCAAACAAAACAACAAGGAAAGCTGAGGAACTCATCTGTCAATTTATAAATAAATGATGTGAATTAAACATTGAAAAATACAAAATACATCACACAAGATAAGGCATTGGTTCTATTCAAATGTTATTTTTATTTTTTATTATTTAAATTAAGTCTATGTGACTCTCCTTCTCTCTCTCTAATTCTTTTTAAAGAAAAAAAAACTTTATTGATTGATTAACTCTAAAGAAATCTTTGTTTCTGCCTTTATATAAGCGGCTAACATCAACTACATACCTTATTTTGTTTCTTCCAAATTGACAAAAAAATCAAAAATTGCCAAATATATATACAACCAAATGGTGGAATTCCCCAAGCCTGCGGTTTTTGAAATCTTAATATTAAACATATTTCATTTAATCATAAGAAGTTATCATTAATAATTTATTTAGCGACAAGAAAATAACATTCTGAATATTAAAGATCTAAACGGCGCATTAAAGTTTGTTTATTTGGAAATCTGTACTTTAAGTCCATTGTAATCTACATAAAAGAAATCCGATGCATTTTCCGTAAACCAGGTTCTTTGGTCTTAGCATATATCCGGTTGATTTACATCATATATGTAATGGGGTTTTGGAGGAAGCTAATTAATAATAAATATCTTCTCATGCTTCTGTTGGGTACATGTAGTTTTATAATTATCTAGTGTTTCTCATAAATTGAAAAAATAAAAATTCGTCAGATTATCTGTCAATGACTTATATTTTCTTTTAGACAACATATTCACTTGTTTTCAATTTTAACAAGGTAAGAAGTACTATTGCGAAATATATGCATTTGGACACTATCAGTTGTTTACTTATTTCATTGTGCAAAATATTTTTTGAATATTAATTGGGATTTCCAAACCGAACTATTTTTAAATTGAATTAGTGTTCATTATTCAAATGCTGTTATTGAATAACACCTGTTAACAGGTAAGCAGTGAAAATATATGCTACATAAAAATTCAATGTTCCTCACCTCAAGTCTGTAAATCTACATAGCACTGATTTAATTACTCAATTTTGTGAAAGAAAAAAATCAACTTTAAAACTTTTGCGTGTTACTATCTTTTACTTTAAAAAACAGGAGTCCATTGATTCGTAAACTGAGCTTCATTATACGCATTTTCTCCCAACAATCGTTAAGGTCCTATTTTTATATAACTATTGTCAGCAGACAGACAAATAAAGGTAAAAATTACAAATTTTTCCTCTTTTCATTTTCTCCTTTTGATAAAATGTATAATGCATTCCAGTTTTGTTAAATAATTGTACTGTATTATTTCATTTGTGAAGGGAGTTGCCATTATTCAGAAGTATACTTACTGGAGTTTCATATTCATGTATGACTGTATATTGTTAAAACATAATTGTATAAGGGATCTATCGTTGTCGACAAGTTATGCGTTATCAATTATAAATAATCAAATTAATAATTGATAATATTCGATCCTTTTGGTTCGAATAGATAAGTATGGTGTGTATCTAATTTGCTTTGATCCATTTTTTTTTATCTCAGTACTCAATAAGACATATTTGCCATTGCTTTTTTATTTCTTTCCTTTGCCTTATATTTCCTCGAAAAATCATTTTTTTTTTTTTAAAAAGCGGAAATTGTTTACATTAAAAAACGAATACAATAAACATGTATCAGTAGGCAGGTGATTAACGTACATTAATTGTCCATTTCTTTTTTATTATTATTATTATTATTTTTGTTGTTGTATTAAGATATACTGTCAACTTTTTTTTTTAATTTTTTTTATTTTATTATTTATACCAATTGTCACAATATATACATGTTTATAATATCTTATTAACATCAAAACATCATTAATACATATTATAAATAAATACAAAAAATATAATAGTGACAATTGAGAGAGAGAGGACGAGAGAGAGAGAGAGAGAGAGAGAGAGAGAGAGAGAGAAAGAGAGAGAGAGAAAGAGGGATGAGAAATGGTGAAAGAAGAACAGAAAAGCATGTTCATAGAAATAAATAGTGGTATATGTATGTCCAAGCATTGCAAAAGGTCTTAGGGCGTCTGGTTTCAGGGTCTTACATGAGTAGAAGCCAGTCTTTCCATTTTTCATTAAAATCATTAATTTGATTACTTTTTGTTGCACTATATTTCATAGTAGATAGCAATGTTTTAATATCTCCACGTAATGCTTGTAATTTTAAAACCTCATTCCGACATTTAGTTCTGTATATAAATGATTTAATACTTAAAAATATTGTATTTAATTCAGTATTGTTGGGTTTTGGATTCCCAAATATGAAATTACAACTATCTTTTGGAAAGTCTATATTATGAGATTCACAAAGAATAGTAAAACTATGTAAAAGCTCCTGAACCTTCTGGCATTCCCACATAATATGAAAAATTGTTTCCTCACATGTCTCACAGAAGCTACATAGTTAAGTATCCCTCAAACCTATTTTATATAACATTTTATTTGTAACTAAGATATGTTGATTTATTCTGAATTGTAGCCATTGTAATTTAGAACTTTTTGTACATTGAAAAGGAATTTTGTATATCATTTCCCATAGGGAATCTTGAATGTCAAAATGTTTACTCCATTTTACTTTTGAAACAGGCACTATGTGTTCTGTATTCAAAATATTATACATAGCTTTTGTTCCCTTTTTACATAGACAGAATAATTTTAAATAAAAAGGTAGAATGGGCCTTGGGTTTAATCTTTCTTTGTTTACTTTTTCTACGGCCATTGCTTCTTTTACTGCTTTCTGTAAACTTGCATATGTTAAAAAGATGGTTTCTATATTAAATTTTTGCTTTTAGATCCTTTAATCCTAGAAAAGTTCCCTTTTCATCTAACAAGTCTGAGATAAAAACTACACCATTAATAAACCATTTGGAATAAAAAAAATGGGCTTATTGTCAATTTTAAGTTTTTTATTGTACCATAATGGTTGGGAGATAAAATCTTCCCATGATTCTATTCTCATTTTGTCTTCCCATTTGGGAAAAATTGATTAAAGGAATAATTGTCTGATTTTTTGTGATCAAACAGAAGGCGTTTTTGCATAAAACAATCCTCTGAGGACCTCTGATCATTTTTATATAAAATAAATCAAGAAATACATGGAACCCTTAGTGTGTCCGTTGCATGCTGTTATTAAGCTGAAAAATAGGCAAAATGGGGTAAATTTTGTATTAAGCTCTGAATTCATAATTGGGTCTCTTTCTAGCTGTATGGCAAAGTCTCCCTTTTGCGCTTAATCGAAATATATATTACGTATAATGGACATTCAATACTCTTATTATTCAGACTTCTTTCTTTGGAAATAAACAAATCCTGTACATCAAAACATTTATTCAAAGCAAACAATCATTCTGTCAGTATTACCCTTTTTACAAATCAAAATTTCTGGTGTACACTGTTATTTAATAATTAGCACCACCCCGGAGTCCAAAATCCACCATAATTCGTTGGCGCTGCAGATTTAGTATTAGATGGAAAATTAGCAGGTACAATTTGTTTGTGATACTCTTCAAGCCTCGATTTCAATTTAGATACCACATCAGGGAGCTTTTTTGACAAATCCACGTGTTCATTTGGGTCATCTAAAATGGAATATTATCGTTTAGTTAACCTTAGAATTTCATTGTTATTGATTAGAATAATTTTTATAATTAAACAAGACTGATTTTAACTTTCAGAATTTCAGTAAATATAAAAAAAATTACACAAGATTAATAGATTTTATGTTGTTATATACTGCAGATTACGATTTGATTTAATAACTCATTTCTTATAAGAGAAAACATTTTAAACAAGAGCAATAGTGCAAAAGAGAATATATTAGATCGACTGATGCATGTTCATAATTTTGAATAGAATGAATTTCATTATAATATCTACAGCAACTTCGATATCAGACCTTTTAAATTAAATAGCATCACTTTGTCAGTAAAAGGCCATGTGACGTTCGCTGGTGCATCGTTATAATTTTCTTTTACCACTTGATCAGGCTTGTACCAGCCCTGATATAGACCTGGATAGCCATCTATTAATTTGTAATCTCCAATCCTAAAACATTTATTTTACAAAAACATTTAGTCTCATTGTATATTATCATTGTATTGCAAAATTCGTACATTTCACTTTATAGCATTGTAAAGTATTTAACATTAACAGTCTATTAAGCACGTCAATGTCATATTAAATTAAATATATTAAAATTTAATTTTGTATTTTTCAAAAATACTACGCCATATATATTAAGCACGTCAATGTCATATTAAATTATTAAAATTTGCACTAATATCTAGGTTTTTTGCTTGAAAATAAAGAACTTTATTCGGTAATAACCAATATTTGCCCCCCAAATCAAACTTTGATGAAGGTATATTTAATTAAGTTCTTAAACAGGGGAGTATATGCTGACTTCAAAACACTGAAAATTTTCATAAGTAATGACGTCATATGTGCGTAATGACGTCACAAACATGACGTAAATTTAAGTTTTTTATGAATTCTACAGAAAATAATCATATTTCGTCGATATTTTGAGTAAAAGTGACCGAGCGCATGTGTGTTCAGGATAAATATTTTGATATAATGTGTAGAATGATAATATCAATGAAATATGTAAATATTGTTCTTGAACAAACTTGCGCTCTATAAATTTTAAAGCTAAAATTGTTGAAATTTTGTCCATTTTGTCCTCTTTCTGAAAAAGGATATAAAATCGGACTAGTTTGTGAAGTCATAAAAACAAAAATTGTGAATAAACTGCTTTGAAACTTTAATATGTTCTGTTAATTTATATTTCTCATACAATTTATTGAATTCAGCACATTTCAGGAAGTTTTCAAAATTTGACTTTTGAGGGGGCAAGTATATGCAATATACCGCATATAGTTCTTAACCAGCCCTTTATAACCATAAATATACAAGAAAATAGAACAGAATATACCATATTAAACAGTTGGAAAAGTTATTGGTAATTGTATGGTGAAAATAAAAAAACATTAAATGATCTATATGTACCTTATAGCAGCATGGCCACAGACCTCCGGTTTCTTATCATCGATGTTGTATATAAATTCGGTTCTTTTGGAGACTCCCCTCCCGTTCTTAGACTATCCCACTGATCGATTCCGTCTAGAGTTGGGTCTGTGAAGCATTAAAAAGTAATCATAATTTTATACAATATTTCCTTAGACACAAAGAAGACGCTATATTTCAAAGTGTAATAAACAGTCATAAGAATAAATCAAATACATCTCCATACATATAAAAATTAAGGTATTGGAATACCTTCATAATCACATTCAGTATCATCTTTCAGAGTTATATAATAAATCTGATTGGATTAGAGA